AGGTAGTGCTAGAATTAATTTCTATAACGAAAAGTTTTAAAGGCAAGTCTGCTATTGTAAAAGATATAAATTTAAGTCTTACAAAAGGACAAGTAATTGCGTTAATTGGTAATTCAGGATCTGGTAAGACAACTATATTGCAGATTGCAGGGTTATTGGATAAGCCCACTTCAGGTACAGTTTTAATAAATGAAATAAACTGTACACAAGCAAATAACAAACAAAAAACTTACGTGAGAAGAAATTTTCTCAGTTTTGTCTATCAGTTTCACCACCTACTGCAAGAATTATCGATATTAGAAAACATTATGCTTCCCCAACTCATTGCGGGAAAAAGTAAAAGTGAAGCTAAGAAAGCATCACAGAAAATACTAGAGAAGCTTAACCTGGCAGATAAAGCAAATAATATGGTGTCTGAAATTTCTGGAGGAGAAAGGCAAAGAATTGCAATAGCAAGAAGTATTGTAAATTCTCCAACGCTTCTACTTGCAGATGAGCCAACAGGGAATTTAGATCCATCAAATGCTTTGGATGTATTCCTATTGTTGTATTCATACGTCAAGGAAAACAATTGCTCTATGCTTATAGTAACACATAATCACTGTCTTGCAGAAAAAGCAGATTGTATTTTAGAGTTAAGGGATCAATCATTAAAACCTCTTCATGAAACAAGCATTTCTGCACTTTGCCGTTCAAAATAGTCACTCAAGACAATACTTTTCATAAAAAAAAGTTGCTTTATGAATAAGTTCGTCTACTATAGTGGCGTGTGGCAATTATATAAAAGCTCACTACAAAAATTCTAAGCTGTTGTTGGCACATTGTCGACGCTTAGAAGATGTCTTGAAATCATTAAAGCCTGGGCAAACCATAATTCTTGACAATGCAAGCTTTCACAAGTCCGTAAAAATCAGAAATTTGATTGGAAATGTAGGGTGTAAAGTACTGTTTTTACCGCCATATTCTCCGGATTTGAATCCAATTGAGAAATTTTGGTTTGCCATAAAACACGCCATCAGAAAAATACTGCCAATTTTTTCGCCAAATATTAACGCTGCTATTGATTTTATTTTTCAAAAATCAGGTAAACCTTATCTTGGTTAGCTATA